GAAAGAGAATTGCTCCAATTTAGAGGAGAGATCCTAGGAAGGGAAGGAGAGGGGCAAGGGATAGCGGAGGAAGTCAGAAGCAGACAACTGAGACAGCAAAGGAGAAGGGAGACCTAAAGACCCTTCTCTGACAATGACATCTTGAGTAGCCAGCCCCAAGCTTCAGGTCAGGATTTCAGAGTTGGGCCTCCTGAAGTTCCCTGCTGCTTGCTGCTTTCCTGCTGTTTTTGCCTTCAGGGAACAAACCTGAGTTTGAAGTATCTGGGACAGGTAGAGATGAAAGGCTTCTTTGCAAAGCCCAGACCTTGCCTTGGAGGCTGAAGACCACACCCAGGTTGGCCAGGATGGCCAAACTTGGCTACTTTAGTGGGGTCTCCCTTTGACTTGCTTCAGGTTGTATAACTTAGCAGTTGGAGGTTACATGGACTACAGTAATGGAGGCCTGGCCTGAGTGCTCTTGCCCATAGGCATACCCTCTTGCCCAGGGTTCACCCACACAGACCCAGCTCCCCTCTCTTTTGATGAGAGAGGGCACTGAAACCCCTTGCTTGTGACTGCAGATGTTCCATAAGTGAATAAATGAATACCAGTGCCAATATCTTCCTTGCAATGAAGGTGATCTCCAAGGTTATGTAGAGTCAGTCTGCAGGCAGCTGCAGAAAGGCTGGTGCCAACAGCCTTCAGGAACATTGTGGCAGGAAAGCAAATCGGAGGTCAAAGTCGAAAGTTTTGAAGAGAAAGATGACAAGGTTTTTTCAGCTTCTGGAAGCCAAATCAAAGGTCAGCCAGAAGACCTGCTGTGCAGGAGCCAGGCGGTGTGCTTATTTGTGTCCATATGTATGTGTGTTGTCTGTGAGGCTTTTATGGTGCTAAATGATCCCTTGTGTGTATGTGTGTGTGCATGCATTATGTTCTGCGTTTTGTAGCCTGTGTTGTGCTAGAAACACTTACTCCAGTTTATCTTTACACCTTTTTTGTCAGTTTTGCCTCTGAAGGTGTGAATTTGTTTGTCAGTGTGCATTTCTATGTGTGCTTTACTGCACATGAGTGTGTAAGTGTGCTTCCACGTCTCTGTTATCTTTGCAGGAGGGTGTGATTTTGTGTGGGCCCCAGCTGGCATGGATGTGAGTTTCTACAGGCCAGCTTCTCTGCGCTTGTGCTTTTCTACGTGTCCGGTATACAGTAAGCCCTCCTTGTAAGTTGGTTGCATCATTCAGTCTTCAGTTTCCTGC